TGAATACAGATCAAGAAAAAACGGGGAAATGGTCCCTATATATTTTGAAATACGATTTATAGATTCTTATAAATTTCAACAAACATCTCTTGAGAAACTTGTTAAAAACCAAGAATTCAAAGATTTAGTAAACCTAAAAAGGGAGTTTAAACAACATTCTGAACTGTTTAAACGAAAAGGAATCTATCCCTATGATTATGTTTCCTCATTAGATAAACTATCAGAAACACAACTTCCTCCCAAAGAAGAATTCTATTCAAAGCTAAAAGATGAGCATATATCCGAAGAAGATTACAATCACGCAATTAGAGTATGGGATACATTCAATTGTAAAACAATCAGAGATTATCACGATCTATATCTTAAGTCTGATGTTATGCTTCTTGCTGATGTGTTTGAAAACTTCAGGAAAACTTGTATGAAACATTATCAACTTGATCCTGCCCATTATTATACAACTCCTGGTCTTGCTTGGGATGCTTGCCTTAAAGAAACAAAACAAGAACTACATTTATTAGAAGATTATGATATGCTAATGATGTTTGAAAAAGGTATACGTGGGGGAATGGTGCATATATCCAAAAGATATGCTGAGGCTAATAATCCATATATGAAATCTTACAACCCTGAAAAATCAACAAAATATATACAATACCTCGATGCAAATAATCTTTATGGATGGGCAATGTCTCAAAATCTTCCTACTCATGGTTTTAAATGGATGAAAAATATTACAAAAGATAAAGTTATGGAAATTCTTGAAAAAGCAAACCATAGCATGACAAATCATGGAAAAACAGGCTACATTTTTGAGGTTGATTTAGAGTATCCAGAAAAGCTATGGGAAACACATAATGACTATCCACTCGCTCCTGAAAGGATAGAAGTAAATAAAGTTGAAAAACTGATTTCTCATTTCAAACCGAGAAAAAACTATGTAATTCATTATCGGGCTTTAAGGCAGTGTCTTGAGATGGGATTGAAATTAAAAGCTGTGCATAGGGGGATATCATTTAAACAAAAATCTTGGATGGCGCCTTATATTGATAAGAATACAAAACTAAGAATGGAAACTAACATCAGTTTTGAGAAAGACTTTTTTAAACTTATGAATAACTCTGTTTTTGGGAAGACAATAGAAAATATTAGAAAAAGACAAAATATAAAATTGGTTGATAATCGTAAAAAAGCTTTCAAACTTACAAAACAGCCCAATTTTGAAAGAGTGGTAATATTTGATGAAAATTTAATTGCTGTCCATATGCAAAAAACAGAGGTATATTTTAATAAACCTGTTTATACAGGCCAGGCAGTGTTAGATTTGTCCAAAACATTGATGTTTGATTTCCATTACAACTATATTAAACCAAAATATGGTAAAAAAGCTGAACTATTGTTTACAGATACTGACAGTCTAATGTATGAAATTCGAACAAAAGACTTTTACAAGGATATTGCCCCTGATATAGAAGCTAAGTTTGATACATCAGATTACCCAGTAGATCATAAATCTGGTATTCCAGTAGGGATAAACAAAAAAGTGATAGGGATGTTTAAGGATGAAGCAGCAGGGAAACAAATAACACATTTTATTGGTCTTCGTCCAAAGCTTTATAGCTATAAAGTAGAAGAAGAAAAAGAAACTAAAAAGTGTAAGGGAATAACAAAGAGTGTGATTGAAAAAGGAATTACATTTGAGCATTATTTTGATTGTTTATTCACGGGTGAGAAACAAATGCGTAGTATGAAAATTATTCAGAGTAATAATCATGATATATATTCTAAAGAAGTAAATAAAATAGCTCTGAGCTGCGAAGATGATAAAAGAAAGGTATTAGAGGATAAAATTCATACCTTAGCGATAAGGCCGAATTAAAAATTAAAAAACTAAAAAATAAATGAGTTACAAAGAAGATCAAATAAAAAAATATTTGGAAATTTTGCATAATTACACCAAAAATAACTTAGATGAACCAAAAATGCAGCCCCAATGTTCAAATTGCGAAAACAGTGAAAATTTCGCGATATATCAAGGTTACAAGATTTGTGAAGAATGTGGATCAACAAACGGGCATGTATTAGGTTACTTTGATCCCAAAGAATATGACAGATTATATTTCAGGAAGAAAAGCATATACCAGCGAAAATACTATTACGAGAAAAAGATAAAACAGATTCCAAATTTGACAGGAGAGGAAAAGGATGGGTTATACAAAAAGTTGATGGAAATAGATGAGAAAGTTATGAAAGATGTAAATAAAAAGTTTAGCCGTAAGAGAATGATCAACATCTTTTATATCATAAATAGAATTTGGGGGGAAATAGGCTCAAAAAACAAAATCTCACTTAATATTTCATCTCAAACAAGAGAATATTATGACAAATGGTGGGAAAGTTATCTTAAATTAAGAAGTCACGAGAGGGAGGGGTGTTAGGTTCCCCTTATAAGAGAGTAAATTCTATATTAAAATTAATATAGAATTAATTTTCATATTACATC